TTCTGCTCGTCCGTCAAAAACTTCTGCTCGTCCGTCAAAAACTTCTGCTCGTCCGTCAAAAACTTCTGTTCTTCCGTCAAAATGTTCTTTCGTTAAGAACTTCTGTTCAATGAAAACTACTCACAATATCGAATAATTAAACCTGAACTTGTTTGAAGATTAATGTTTAATTAATAGATATCATTACGAAAACAGTCTCTACCATAAATATTATCGTTGTAGGAAGAAGCTCAAGAAATTTACTTTAGCAATTTTCAAAAAATTTGTGATTTTAACAAATGTGAGATATGCATCATTAAGTGTCTTTCATATTATCCAATGACAAAGTATATTAAAAATATTTGATGCCATTTTTAGAAAATTTTTAATATCTTTTTGAGGCTTGACATAAAGTACCCTCAAAAATAAAATTATCCGATAGAAACTCCCAAAGCATCGAGTTTATTCAGATCCACAGAAAATATCACTTTTGAACAAAAGTGACTAAACAGTTGATAGTGCTAGCGTTGACCATTGACAGACAGTCATTTTGCCATAAATCAATTTTTCAGTATCAAGGACCTACCAAATATTGATTCTGGCTGAATCACATGTTAGAGATTTTTTTTCTATATTAAGCAAAAAGATTCATCCACTTCATTGCCAGGGCCTAGCAATAAGAGGTTTTCAGTTGAAAATTTGCTGTTTTTTGACGCACACTCTCATAACTTACTCTTCTCCTGTAAGGATGTGTAAGTTAAAAAACGTCCTATTACCTAGTCCTATTACCAGTGAATTTTGATTTTTCAAAAATTGCAAAATGTTACCATAGCAATAGTACAATATTGATGAGAGAGATTTTTGTCACAAACAATATTTGTTCTAATAACTCAGATCTTTAAAAAGTTCCATGCAATTATTTGAAAAACTAGTAGTTTTCATGTAATTTCTGCTTCAACTTAATGGGAATTATAAAAAAAGTTCTTAAAACCACTTCAAATTTTTTCTTAAAACTTTGTGTCACAGATAGAAAGAGGAACAATGTCTAATTTTTGTTGAGCTCACTGAAATTTCAAAAATTGCAAAAGTTAGAAATAATAGGAGAAAATGTGAGCTGTTGAAGCATCACCTGTTTGTTTCTGTAATACTGATATTAAAGATACCATTTGATCAAATAATACCTAAAACACTATGGTTTACTTCATCTTTAAAAATACTTCTTTCAATTGTTATTAAAGAACTCATAATCTAGCAATAGACAAATGTATGAGTTGTTTGTTTTTACTCACTTTACAGCATTAGCAGATGGACGTTGTTCAAAATGTACAATCACACTGTTGAGTTCTCCATACATAACACGGGGTGTATCATAAGTGTCATCCAGAACTTCCACTGACAGACCTGCCAATTCAAAGTCAATAGCATTTTCTACAAAAGTAACAGGATACTGAGTAGGTGTTGAAGATTCTTGATAACCAATTGCCTTGTATAATTTCTGCTTCTCTTCTGGTGTCATAGCACTTTCAAATTTTTTCACTACAACACAAGCAAAAAAATTAATAAATAAATAAATAGAAATGAAATGACACAATCAAAGTTTAAAAAAAGTTACTCCTATATCATAATATTGTAATTATTACAGATAAGACTAACTGATAAATTATTATAGATTATGATAGATGAAAATGCATTAGTAATGCTCAAATTCTTCTTTGTTTAAATCTCCAAATATTGTGGTACTAGTAATTATTGTTGCTAAATTAAACTATTGACAATGAAGTGACAAAGTGACAACTGTATGAAAGATAAGGAAGCTATATTTTTCAAAATCTGCTTTAAAAGAAAGATTATGATGTAGATTGTTCTAATAGCTTTGAGTTTTTTTAGAACAAATTATCTCATGAAATATGACAAAAAAATATAACATTTGATGATAGCAATAAGAAACCTGATTTATAAAGAACTATTCTCTCTAAGACACAAAATATTAAGAATGTTTAATGTCAAATTAATGAACGCTACAATGCATGTTATGTAGGTTGTTAATAAACAATTCAAAAAGAAATAGCACCAATTTGAATACTTTAATTGACTTGTGTTGTAGTAAAAATAATGTGATGTTCATGTATTGCAACGTACTTATAGCAGCTGGTGACATTGAATCATCTTCTTTTGGAGTGCTACTACTGAACCAGCCTGAAAACCATCCCTTGCTTTCTGCAGGTTTTGCCTGAGCTTGACGTTCCACCTGCAATAAAGAACAATCAATTATTATCAACATGATGATCATCGTCATTATTATTTTTATTATTATTATTTATATTATTATTATTATTGGATTCTGATTACCGTTTTTTTGCCGGAGAAAGGGGGAAATGGTTTACGCATGACCCGGGCTGAGTCGGTTAATGGTCGGACTCTCCAGCGTGAGCAATAAGCCGACTTAAAACTCTAACTCCTCATTCACATGGTGCCGTGGTAATCTTATGCCGCGGGACCCGTCATTGAGACATTACTGTCACGCAGATTGGCTGAGAGCAAGAAGCTTTCCTCTCAGATGGTCGCTATGGTATTTTAGCTCTCCTCTGCTTTTTAGTAAGTGGCTCTTCTATTTAGAACGTGAGGCCACGGAAGTCTCGCACTTTGTTTTCGCAGTCTCTGGATTGCGGGTATACGTCTGGGCCTGTGTTTGCAGGCGTTAATTCCGTCGCAATTTGGCGGTAGCAGTCTCTCTTTCTTCCTCCAAGTTTTTGCAACTATATTGGTGTGCATAGCGTCCGTCGTCTTCTTCATGACGCATATGCGGGCTTTCAGGCGATATTTTAAATCTGCATAGAATATGCTTAAAAGTTCCATGCCTGAGAAGGCTTGCGTCAAAGTAACAGTCCATTGCGCCATGGTTCGTGCTGGTCCAATCCTTGTGTTAGGGCACGAGGCTGTGAGTCATTTACCTTTTGTAGCTCCAGGTTCCCATCGGGTTTTGCCGACTGGTTGAGATTGGTTTCTCAATCCGCTCGGATACTGTCTAATTTTCTTGTTGGACAGGGTTCTGTTTTGTTTATTCTGCTGTCGTCTTCAAGTACATTGTCCTTCTCTTTTTTCCTGGGCTAAAAGGTCACCTGGGGGACACTGGCCAGTAACGCGTATTAAGAACATGATTGTCCGGCATCAATCGTGCGATATCCTGAGATTAGTCTTAGTGACATCCTTCTGTTGATCTTTTTGGTGATTTTCGTTGAATGGACTCTCTAGCTGCGATCTGCCACCGACTGGGGCGGCAATACAGCATTTTTGAGTGGGCACTACGGCAGAAATTAACCTCCTTTTGCTTTCAACTGGGTCCTCCAGAGTTCAGCATTGTCCTTGGAGAATTTGATTCCCAGGTCTTTACAAGCTTTTCGCTCCTGCTGATTTTATAATGTGGGGTCGAAGCTCAATTCATTGTTGTTATTATTATTATCAATTATTATTATTATTATTATTAGATATTATTATTATTATTATTATTATTATTATTAATTATTATTATTATTATTATTTTCGTTTTTCTCGGTGAGAGTCTTTTTTTTTTTTTTTTTTGCCATGGAGGAAGGGGGGAATGCGTTAGCGAACAAAAACTGGTAAAAACCGGGGCGACGGGCATACCCAGGTAAGTATGTGGGGGGCCTTATGTCGGGACTTCGTCTCCAGCGCAGTGGGCATATTCGATCGGAGCCGACTAAAACGCTAAACTCTTCCTCGATTCACATGGTGCACACATGCGTAATGTTTTTTTTTTCTGCGCGGGGACATATCTGCGTATGCTTATTTATGCAGTTGCTCTCTAGGCTTTTTAGTAGTCGGTAACTTTTATTTTTTTACGCTGAGCATGAAGTCTGCCCAGGTTTTTCCAGTCTCTGGATTTGCAGCATATTCCTGGGCTGTGTGCGTGGTGTTAAGGCGTTAATTTCCGTCGCAGCAATTTGCGGTATCAGTGTGGTCCGGCGTAAGCCTATGAGTCTGGAGTTCTTTGGGAGCTCGGATATTCATATGCAGGTCGTCATATAGGGTATTCCACAGGAGGGGCTCAATGTTGATCCCTGTGAAACACCGCAGGTTCCATGTCTTTCCTCTCAATCCTATACCCGTTGTTGTAGATTCTTTCCCTCTCATGGGTAGTCTATCCAGGATCCTCACAAGGTATTCGGGATCTTCCTAGTACTTGGGCTTTTGTTTATGAAAATATCTTTCAGAATGGCAGAATTGAATGTAATCGCAAACAAGGACAACAAAACTCTTATATTCTTTTTGCTGTTTCTGCATTGGTGGAACTGCTTTTCTGCAGATCGCGTCTATCCGTCGAGAGTCCCTTTCTAAATCAAACTGTCTCGTTTGAACAATTGACGAATTCTCTTTAGTCGTTAGAAGGAGCAAACCCTCCAGCATGAGATAATATTTGGCTCATCGTGAATCCAGCATGGTCTCACAAAGGCCCTGAACGAATTCGACGTCCGATCGATTGGCTTGTACCTTTCCCGCATGAGAATTGCTTCTGATGTTTCCAACACTTATAGAATTTCCTTGTTCAAGACACTGGTTAAAGGCTTTTCAAAAAAAGGTATTCTTCTGTGTATTCTTGTACAACTATCCACCACAGGATCGCGTTTCGGGGAATTTCCGTCAAGTTCCGGTGCAGTGCATTCATGTCATGGTGCAGTCTCATTTCATCGGAAAACTAGTTCGCCCCTTCGTGAAGACGGTTGGCTTGTCGAAAGAGCGTAGTCAGAAGGTCTGCCTCCTTACGCAGCAATTTCTCTGCTAGGGGAGAAGGTCTTGGATTAATTGCCCAGTCCGACTTCAAGGCCCCGCGGTTGGTTGAAGGTTTAATTTGCCCATACAATCTTGTGGGAGGGTAGTTTTCCCAGGGGTCGTTGTTAACCAACGTGTTTAATAGGGCCTTCGCAGGCATTTTGGGTTTATTTTGTTTTGTTTTCCTCTCTCTCTCTTATCTCTCTTTTCTCTTCTCTTTTAATTCCGCATTTTAGGGTCTTTTTTTTGCGGGGGACGTCTTGTAATTTTCATCCTTCAGCAGAATGTCCGTGTTTTAGGCTCATGTTGCAAGTCTTGTCCTCAGGCTTTAAACAGACATGCTTGACGAAGCTCCTGCCAATAGGTCGCTGATCCACCAATCAGCCTGATTTTTTCCTCTTTGGGTCTCGCTACGGTGTTGGGGCGGGTCTAGGCATTGAGTGTCACGTTATTTTTAACGGGTTTCGACAAATTTCCCGTACTACCATCTTCGAGGGACTCCTGCCTTTTCTATTACTCCCCCATGGACTCAGACAATTTTTAGCTTCTCAAGGAAGTTTATGCGCATCGGCTTCTCTTTTAGCTTGTTTGGTGTTCCAAGATGTGCCGATGTATGGCTGATTTCTTTCTTCTTAGCTCTGTTCCAAGCGGATGAAGTGGAGAAATTCAATGTAGGGGTGATCGTAACGTGTTTTAGCGTCAGAACCTGCCCAATGCCAGGGCATTCTTGACTCCTTGTGGCTTCCTTATTGATGCCGCCCTTTGAAATGTATGAGCCGGCTCCCTGTGTTTTTAGGACTAAACAGGTCCTTCCTAGCAGAATTGCGCAAACAATATCGTTCTCTGCGATTAGTTTTTGCTTTCGGGTCCCATTCCGGGGGGACCTTGCTGTTAAGTCTCCAGTCCCAAATATTTTCACCTGGGGCTGAGTTCATGCTTGCCTCCAGTTCATCGATTATGACCTCACCTTCTTAAAATTTCTTCTATTTGTCGTTTGAGGAGAAAATAGCAACTATATTATTCTATAGGTGTTCATGTTCTAAGCTCCATACAAAACCTTGGTTTGTAACTTTAATTTAGAGACTCTTTATTTTTGGAGTTGAAAAATATAATTCCTCTTGCCGTGTCCTGGTAAGGGATATGTCGTCAATATCGTGGCCAGCTTCATCTGACCAAGTAAGACATCGCCTGTCTTTCCCTTGCCGTTGAATGAGAGATCTTGGGGGATCTTTCCTTTGCCTACAATGTAATTTGAAGGAACCTGGGCCAATGTCCTTTGTTTTAATTAGCCGAGTTTATTAGTTCTGACAGTGGAGGGAAGGGCATTTATAGCTACCTCAGCTTATAAGATGTGTCTTCTAGAGAAGGGTTTTTATTTGTCTTTTGGCAGCCAAATACAACTGAAACTGGCTCTTTTGCAGTTCCTGGGCCAAATTGGTCCCTTTTGGCCACAATGAAGACTTGTAAGATAACGTTGTTGACAAATTTATCATATGTGCTGCTTTTGTCCGCGGGCCCTTTCAAGAGGTGGAGATATGGCCAATCCTAAACAGACTTAGGCCTTGGCTGAACACTGGTGCTTCATCCTAAACGAGTGGCATAGTAAGTACCAGCCAATTCCAAATT